TACCCCGTTGTTGACCCATGTGGCTGTACCGGTAAGATTGTGTACCCCGTTGTTGACCCATGTGGTTGTACCGGTAAGGTTGTGTACCCCGTTGTTGATCCATGTGGTTTGTACCGGTAAGGTTGTGTACCCCGTTGTTGACCCATGTGGCTGTACCGGTAAGATTGTGTACCCCGTTGTTGACCCATGTGGTTGTACCGGTAAGGTTGTGTACCCCGTTGTTGACCCATGTGGCTGTACCGGTAAGATTGTGTACCCCGTTGTTGACCCATGTGGTTGTACCGGTAAGATTGTGTACCCCGTTGTTGACCCATGTGGCTGTACCGGTAAGATTGTGTACCCCGTTGTTGACCCATGTGGTTGTACCGGTAAGATTGTGTACCCCGTTGTTGACCCATGTGGCTGTACCGGTAAGATTGTGTACCCCGTTGTTGACCCATGTGGTTGTACCGGTAAGGTTGTGTACCCCGTTGTTGATCCATGTGGTTTGTACCGGTAAGGTTGTGTACCCCGTTGTTGATCCATGTGGTTTGTACAGGTAAGGTTGTGTACCCCGTTGTTGATCCATGTGGTTGTACCGGTAAGGTTGTGTACCCCATTGTTGACCCATGTGGCTGTACCGGTAAGGTTGTATACCCCATTGTTGATCCATGTGGTTTGTACCGGTAAGGTTGTTTACCCCATTGTTGACCCATGTGGCTGTACCGGTAAGGTTGTGTACCCCGTTGTTGACCCATGTGGCTGTACCGGTAAGGTTGTATACCCCATTGTTGATCCATGTGGTTTGTACCGGTAAGGTTGTTTACCCCATTGTTGACCCATGTGGCTGTACCGGTAAGGTTGTTTACCCCGTTGTTGACCCATGTGGTTTGTACCGGTAAGGTTGTTTACCCCGTTGTTGACCCATGTGGCTGTACCGGTAAGGTTGTGTACCCCGTTGTTGACCCATGTGGTTTGTACCGGTAAGGTTGTATACCCCATTGTTGATCCATGTGGTTTGTACCGGTAAGGTTGTTTACCCCATTGTTGACCCATGTGGCTGTACCGGTAAGGTTGTATACCCCATTGTTGACCCATGTGGTTTGTACCGGTAAGGTTGTATACCCCATTGTTGATCCATGTGGTTTGTACCGGTAAGGTTGTTTACCCCATTGTTGACCCATGTGGCTGTACCGGTAAGGTTGTATACCCCATTGTTGATCCATGTGGTTTGTACCGGTAAGGTTGTATACCCCATTGTTGACCCATGTGGCTGTACCGGTAAGGTTGTATACCCCATTGTTGATCCATGTGGCTGTACCGGTAAGGTTGTGTACCCCATTGTTGATCCATGTGGCTGTACCGGTAAGGTTGTGTACCCCATTGTTGATCCATGTGGCTGTACCGGTAAGGTTGTGTACCCCATTGTTGATCCATGTGGCTGTACCGGTAAGGTTGTGTACCCCATTGTTGATCCATGTGGCTGTACCGGTAAGGTTGTGTACCCCATTGTTGATCCATGTGGCTGTACCGGTTCGGATACACATGTTGTTTGTTGAGCGATCTCAAGGCCGATGCATTTACGGTTCACATTGCGTCACATATAACTAGCTTCAAAATACAAATTCTATATCATGTGAACAATACCAAACATGCCTTTTAACATGGAAAAAATCACATGTGACTGTTATTATGACAATTAAAGTCATTTGATGGATTTGATCATGAAATTAACTACTTCAAATACAAGCAATTGGATACTAAGAATACATCAACGCGACATCAATGATGTTATTCGCGTTCCATTAATATAATTTTCATAATTTTCATATTCATGTTACATCACTATGTTGCCGTTTACGCCCAATGGATTCGGTTTGGGCAGATAATCGAGAGTTATTATTCTCTGGCATTGATGTCTCCTATTTACATAGGACCATGGTTTCAGATCGGAGCATCCCTGTTTGTGAGCAACATCGGCACCGAGCACTTCATCGGCCTCGCCGGCTCTGGGGCCGGCAACGGCATTAGCGTTGGGGCGTGGGAGCTTAACGTGAGTACCTACAAACAAGAAGACTTGCATGTTCTGTACTGTATGCCACATAGTTAATTCTGTCATGAAACATCATGGCATGGTGAAGCATTCAGTAATGGTAATGGAACTATGTTGGGAACGAGTGAGCGAGTGAGTATAGTTTTACGCCGCAATATTCCAGCGATAACCACTGGGCTACACCACCGCCACCGCCACCGCCTCCGCCACCGCCACCGCATCCGCCACCTTGAGATACGCAAAGACGTGATAGGAGACATGATTGTTTCTTTGTCAATGCCTACCTATAATTATGGGCTATTAACAGTATTCACTCACTCACTCACTCTTCCACACAGGCCCTGATGCTCCTGCAGCTTCTTGGCTGGATCTTCGTGCCAGTGTATATTGCATGTGGGGTAAGTAGAGGCACTGATCACGGACCAACAACGAACAAGGTTATACTAGTATTTGTCATGGAGATCATTACAACCTATTTTAGCTAAAATGGATAGAATTATCATTAAACCACCCGCATGTTATCAGAAATGAGCGGGCCACTATAACTTGATAATGCCCTCATATTGCTTGACGACGGGCCATTATCACGCCCGTTGTTAGGTGACGTCATAGGATAGGTATAGGTGACGTCACGTTCAATAGTGACGTCATCTGGTTTGTTCTATGGCGTTTCAATATTTGTAGAAGTGGGTCATTGACATTCGTGTTAATTGCAGTAAATGTTTCCGAATCGATACTGTTGTTTCTTTTCTTTCTTTTTTTTCTGATAACAAATTCCATGATCCATTTTTAGCAATAATAACGGTAACACTATTTTTCAGGGCATTATCATTAACAGAAGCCCTCGGTCTTTTCAACCGCCCCCCTTCGTCGGGCAGTTAATGGAAGACCTCGAGCTTCTGCAAATGATAATGCCCTGAAAAATAGCGTTACCCTTATATTAATTTAAACAATTATCTAGGAAAAAGTACCTGTGACAAGTCAAACTTAGGTAACCTACTACTAATAATTACTTGGGGAATTTGCTACTTTCATCTGGCCATAAAAGACTTGCTTCGTCTGTGTTCAGTATTTCCATCTTGACCAAGCTGAGGCTAGCAAAATGACTATAACGTCGAAGACACCCCTCTCTCTCTTTCCTACAGACCTACACCATGCCGGAGTATCTCTCCAAGAGATTCGGGGGAACCAGAATGAGAGTGTACTTCGCCTTTCTCTCCCTCATCCTTTACATCTTCACCAAATGTTCTGTAAGTATCGTGCCCCCATCATTAACCTACAGGTACATCTTCACCACGTTCAGCGAAAAGACTTGAGAGAAAATGCAATGAGTTAAAAGACTATAGTAGAATTACAGTGAAGAGAAGATAAAATGGATGGGTGAGTGAAGGGCCATAAAATTACCACAGAAGAGATGGGTTGAATGTTTGAACAATGTTGAGTGATTTATTGATTTGTTTGTATGTTGTTTAACGCCGCAATATTCCACATGTAGGTGTACACGGCTGTAGTGTTGCGAACTCTGACGTCATGTCTGTTTTGCAGGGGGACCTCTTCACCGGTGCCCTGTTTATACAGCAGTCACTCAAGTGGGATCTGTACCTGAGCATCGTGTTGCTGGTCCTCATCACCGCTGTTCTCACAATTACAGGTACCTAGCATCGTGTCACATGCACACGCCAAGAAAATATCACCTTGCTGGACAGAACATGCAGTTTCAGCAGTACAATAATGTTTGTTTGTTGTTTAACGCCGCACTCAACAATACTACAGCTACATGACGGCAGTCTATAAATAATCGAGTCTAGACCAGACAATATCTAGTGATTGACATCTTGAGCATCGATTCACGCAACTGGGATACGATGACATGCATCAACCAAGTCAGCGAGCCTGACCACTCGATCCCGTTAGTCGCCTCTTATGACAAGTATAGTCACCTTTTACGGCAAGCATGGGTTGCTGAAGACCTATTCTACCCCGGATCTTCACGGACGGAGTACAATAATATTTAGCCTTGGATCTAACGTGTTTGATAATTTTTATCACAGTGGGTGTATTGATGCATGAGGTTGTAATAGTATGCGATGATTCTGATGTATTTGTCCGCAGGTGGCTTGACAGCTGTCATCTACACAGACACGCTTCAGGCGGTCCTGATGTTGACGGGAGCACTGTACCTCACCGGAGCGGGTAAGACAGGCCTTGGGACCCACTGAGTAAAGGATATTGTACGAGCGCTTCAAGCTATGACTGAGCATTGACTGTTTTAAAACATGGCGAGTCGACTTGTTGAGAGATGGTTATTGGGCAAAGTGAATCCTGACGCCATTCAAGATCTGATTCCAGATCTTGTCAGGAGCTTAATGATATACCTCTTCATATATAAAGTTTATGTCTAGTATCATATTATCAAGCTGGCTTTGTCTGTCTGTGATTCTATTTTGAACAAAGATGTGAAACCCTCAAATTGATTTATGAGGAGGGTTTAACAGCGTCCTTTTACGCTATATAAGACCTCAATGACTCAAATGATTGTTTCTTTGCTTTAAGGCTTTTAGTTATTCTTTTGAATTTGACCTTCCAGGTTATGCAGTGTCAAGTTAAAAAACGACAGAACTTTTCATAACAGAATTTAATAAAAAAAATTATGGTACTTTCTCTCTGCAACCTTGTACTGTTATGATATGATTTCAGGGTTTTATGAGATCGGTGGTTTTACTGGACTACTGGAGAAGTACCCTCAGGCAGTGCCAAAGAACGCCAGCTCCATCGTCCCCGGTACGACGTGTCACCACCCTGACAAGCAGGCGTTCAGGATGCTGCGGGAGGTGGACGACGACTACATGCCTTGGCTCGGCTTCCTCCTCGGACAGACGCCGGGGTCCATTTGGTACTGGTGTGCAGACCAGGTGAGATGCTAGGATATTGCGGTGCACGTCAAAGCTGTGTTGAACCTCCAAGGTTATGTGGGTAGAACATACTATGGCGCACCGGGTGTGTATTTCTTACCATGGCGGTGTATGCTATGGGAAATACCATTCAGTAAAGTTTTATATCATGTTTTCTCAGGTCATCGTGCAGCGTGCTCTCGCCGCGAAAAGTATCTCCCATGCTCAAGGGGCTACTCTCATGGCAGGCTTCATCAAGATCCTCCCCATCTTCATCATGGTGATGCCAGGCATGATGAGCAGGATCCTGTATCCAGGTACGTGGAATACAGGTGTACCAGGTGTACAAAGGGAAGTGGAATACAGGTGTACCAGGTGTACACAGGTACGTGGAATACAGGTGCACCAGGTGTACACAGGTACGTGGAATACAGGTGCACCAGGTACACACAGATACGTGGAATACAGGTGTACACAGATACGTGGAATACAGGTGCACCAGGTGTACACAGGTACGTGGAATACAGGTGTATGATGTGTACCTAGGTACGTGGAATACAGGTGCACCAGGTGTACACAGGTACGTGGAATACTGGTGTATCAGGTGTACACAGGTACGTGGAATACAGGTGTACCAGGTGTACACAGCTACGTGGAATACAGGTGTACCAGGTGTATCAGGTACGTGGAATACAGGTGCACCCGGTGTATACAGGTACGTGGAATACAGGTGTATGATGTGTACCTAGGTACGTGGAATACAGGTGCACCAGGTGTACACAGGTACGTGGAATACTGGTGTATCAGGTGTACACAGGTACGTGGAATACAGGTGTACCAGGTGTACACAGCTACGTGGAATACAGGTGTACCAGGTGTATCAGGTACGTGGAATACAGGTGCACCCGGTGTATACAGGTACGTGGAATACAGGTGCACCAGGTGTACACAGGTACGTAGAATACATGTTTCTCTTTCTTTGTTGTTTAATGCGGCCGGTGTGTCCATATTCGCGTCCGGTTCAAACAGTCTAGTGATTGATATTATGAGTATAAAATCTACACATCTACACATCACACATGGGATAAAAGTGTTGTGTGTGTACCGATGTACATGGTGTCAATGTAAAGGAAATGTGTACCTGGGTATGTGTGTCAACGCTCACCGAGATAGTCATGATGTGTTGCCCCAGTGTATAACTCGCGTCTATAGGGCTGAAACTGTTGATGCAACGTTCGATATCAACTCCTTGCATTTAATTGAAACTATCGTTCCTACTTACAAAGTGCATAGACATTAATTTGCCATTGTGTCCACAGACGAGGTAGCCTGCACCAACCCAGACTACTGCATGGAGGTGTGTCAGAGCAAGGCTGGATGCACGAACATCGCCTTCCCTCGACTCGTGCTGGGACTTATGCCAGACGGTAAGAAGGAGTGCTCTTTACAGCATATCCGTCACAGCATATCCGCCGCAGCATATCCGTCACAGCATATCCGCCACAGTATATCCGTCACAGCATATCCGTCACAGCATATCCGCCTCAGCATATCCGTCACAGCATATCCGTTACAGCATATCCGTTACAGCATATCCTAGGTGATTAATGTTGAAAACTCAGGTTGTTTCTCATAATCCTGGATCATGTGTATCCTCGTGCCACTCCGGAGTTCACGAATGACTGATGGCAAGGGCGGATCCCGCATTTTTAAAAGGGAGGGGTCCAAAACATCAAAATCCTCCCTCGGTCAATTTTACTGTCTACAACACTGGCAAAATTGCTAATAATGAAAACTGACACATGACAAGATAGTAGGGATGGTCATATTAACATTTCCTTCTTCTAAAAGCCGCTAAGAGATAAGAATCCTGATTTTCTTCAAATCATTACGTTTCATCGTCACTTAATGGCCAACTCTTGTGAAGACTATATTACTTACTACATACGTAGAGCATCACAATTTGTATGAATATGTGTGTCGAGAACTCGGTGGATGATGTCATTCAGGATATTACATTTGATGTGTGAAAATGCAACTAGGATTTTCCTGATATCTTCTGGTTATTATTCTTGGTTGTTCAGCTCGTTATCCTGCTGGGCGGTCGGGTAGCCTAGTGGTTAAAGTGTTCGCTCGTCACGCCGAAGACCCGGGTTCGATTCCCGACATGGGTACAATGTGTGAAGCCCATTTGTGGTGTCCCCCGTCGTGGTATTGCTTGAATATTGCTAAAAGCGGCGTAAAACCATACTCACTCACTCACTCGTTATCGTGCTCGTGGGCTTCACAAAAGTCGTAAACGTCTAAGACCTTCATCACTTGGAGCTCCCAGCGTACATACATTTGACATACTGGAATAGCCCTGATAATATTTTCTCTTCTGTAATTTCATTGGATTATTGTTCTGTCAGTTATCAAATCACATACGAGCCTATGTTATTTCACTCACCCCTACATATTGTCGTGCAGGTGCCCGCGGTCTCATGATGGCGGTGATGGTGGCAGCTTTGATGAGTGACCTGGACTCCATATTCAACAGCGCTAGCACTCTCTTCACCATCGACATATGGAAGAGGTTCCGACAGAGGGCCTCAGTCACGGAACTCATGATAGTGGGGCGGTATGCTGGTTCTTACACTCGTTAAGCATATAACTACTTATCAGGACTAATTTTGAAACAAATGTTACTTGGATTCTACAGCATTACAATGAAGTTCCTGATACACTGTTTTATGGTGCATTGAGGTGGATGGTGGCGCATGGGGATGGATGGTGGTGCAGTGGAGTGGATGGTGGTGCATGGGGATTGGTGGTGGTGCAGTGGAGTGGATGTGGTGCATGGGGATGGATGGTGGTGCAGTGGAATGGATGGTGGTGCAGTGGAGTGGAGGGTGGTGCAGTGGAGTGGATGGTGGTGCAGTGGAGCGGAGGGTGGTGCAGTGGAGTGGATGGTGGTGCAGTGGAGTGGATGTGGTGCAGTGGAGTGGATGGGGATGGATGGTGGTGCAGTGGGATGGATGGTGGTGCAGTGGAGTGGATGTGGTGCATGGGGATGGATGGTGGTGCAGTGGAATGGATGGTGGTGCAGTGGAGTGGAGGGTGGTGCAGTGGAGTGGATGGTGATGCAGTGGAGAGGATGTGGTGCATGGGGAGGGATGGTGTTGCAGTGGAGTGGATATGGTGCATAGGGATGGATGGTGGTGCAGTGGATTGGATGGTGGTGCATGGGGATGGATGGTGGTGCAGTGGATTGGATGTGGTGCATTGGCATGGATCGTGGTGCAGTGGAGTGGATGGTGGTGCAGTGGAGTGGATGGTGGTGCATGGGGATGTATGGTGGTGCAGTGGAGTGGTGCAGTGGAGTGGATGTGGTGCAGTGGAGCGGATGGGGATGGGTGGTGGTGCAGTGGGGTGGATGGTGGTGCACTGGAGTGGATGTGGTGCATGGGGATGGATGGTGGTGCAGTGGAGTGGATGGTGGTGCAGTGGTTTCGATGGTGGTGCAGTGGATTGGATGTGGTGCATGGGGATGGATGGTGGTGCAGTGGATTGGATGGTGGTGCAGTGGAGTGGATGTTGTGCATGGGGATGGATGGTGGTAGTGGATTGGATGGTGGTGCAGTGGAGTGGATGGGGATGGATGGTGGTGCAGTGGAGTGGATGTGGTGCATGGGGATGTATGGTGGTGCAGTGGAGTGGTGCAGTGGAGTTGATGTGGTGCAGTGGAGTGGATGGGGATGGATGGTGGTGCAGTGGGGTGGATGGTGGTGCAGTGGAGTGGATGTGGTGCATGGGGATGGATGGTGGTGCAGTGGAGTGGATGGTGGAGCAGTGGAGTGGATGTGGTGCATGGGGATGGATGGTGTAGCAGTGGAGTGGATGTGGTGCATGGGGATGGATGGTGGTGCAGTGGAGTGGATGTGGTGCATGGGGATGGATGGTGGTGCAGTGGAGTGGATGGTGGTGCAGTGGAGTGAATGTGGTGCATTGGAGTGGATGGTGGTGCAGTGGAGTGGATGGTGGTGCAGTGGAGTGGATGTGGTGCATTGGAGTGAATGTGGCGCATGGGGATGGATGGTGGTGAAGCGGACGTGGTGCATGGGGATGGATGGTGGTGCAGTGGAGTGGACGTGGTGCATGGGGATGGATGGTGGTACAGTGGAGTGGATGTGGTGCAGTGGGGTGGGTGGTGGTGCAGTAGCTGATAGTGGTGCAGTGGGGTGGATGTTGTGCAGTGGCGTGGACGTGGTGCAGTGGGATGGATGGTGGTGCAGTGGAGTGGACGTGGTGCATGGGGATGGATGGTGGTGCAGTGGAGTGGATGTGGTGCAGTGGGGTGGGTGGTGGTGCAGTGGAGTGGATAGTGGTGCAGTGGGGTGGATGTTGTGCAGTGGAGTGGACGTGGTGCAGTGGGATGGATGTGGTGCACGGGGATGGATGGTGGTGCAGTGGAGTGGACGTGGTGCATGGGGATGGATGGTGGTGAGTTGAGTTGACGTGGTGCATGGGGATGGATGGGTGTGCAGTGGAGTGGATGTGGTGCAGTTGGGTGGGTGGTGGTGCAGTGGAGTTGACGTGGTGCATGGGGATGGATGGGTGTGCAGTGGAGTGGATGTGGTGCAGTGGAGTGGATGGTGGTGCAGTGGGGTGGATGTTGTGCAGTGGAGTGGACGTGGTGCAGTGGGATGGATGTGGTGCACGGGGATGGATGGTGGTCCAGTGGAGTTGATGGTGGTGCAGTGGGGTTAGGTGGTGGCGCAGTGGAGTGGATGGTGGTGCAGTGGCGTGGATCTGGTGCATGGGGATGGATGTTGGTGCAGTTGAGTGGATGGTGGTGCAGTGGGGTGGATGGTGGTCCAGTGGAGTTGATGGTGGTCCAGTGGAGTTGATGGTGGTGCAGTGGGGTGGTGCATTGGGATGGATGGTGGTCCAGTGGAGTTGATGGTGGTCCAGTGGAGTTGATGGTGGTGCAGTGGGGTGGGTGGTGGTGCAGTGGGATGGATGTTGGTGCAGTTGAGTGGATGGTGGTGCAGTGGGGTGGGTGGTGGTGCATTGGAGTGGATGGTGGTGCAGTGGAGTGAATGTGGTGCATGGGGATGGATGGTGGTGCAGTGGAGTGGATGGTGGTGCAGTGGAGTGAATGTGGTGCATGGGGATGGATGGTGGTGCAGTGGAGTGGATGGTGGTGCAGTGGAGTGGATGGTGGTGCAGTTGAGTGGATGGTGATGCAGTGGAGTGGATGGTGGTGCAGTTGAGTGGATGGTGATGCAGTGGAGTGGATGGTGGTGCAGTTGAGTGGATGGTGATGCAGTGGAGTGGATGGTGGTGCAGTGGAGTGGATGTGGTGGATGTGGTGCATGGGGATGGATGGTGTTGCAGTGGAGTGGACGTGGTGCAGTGGAGTGGATGTGGTGCAGTGGAGTGGATGGTGGTGGAGTGGATGTGGTGCATGGGGAGTGCATGTGGTGCATGGGGATGGATGGTGTTGCAGTGGAGTGGACGTGGTGCAGTGGATTGGATGTGGTGCAGTGGAGTGGATGGTGGTGGAGTGGATGTGGTGCAGTGGAGTTGATGTGGTGCAGTTTGGTGGATGGGGGTGCACTTGAGTGGGTAGGGGTGCAATGGAATTGTTTGGGATGCAATGGAGTGGATCGGGTCGGATGATGGTGCAGTGGGATGGATGGGGGTTGATGAGGGTGCATACTGGTGGATGGTCTGGACCATGTAAGTGAATTTTCCAGAAATGTGAATTTGAGTGTCGGCTGTTTGCGTCGTGTGCGTGTTGGTGTCTCTGAAGCCTTCATTCAAAAAGATACATTCAATCCTGTGTCTGTATTTAGGATTTTAGTCATGTTATCATGTCATGTACTTGGGTGTGTACAATGTTCCTATTGGGCTCCCGTGATGCCAGGGTGTTTATCGTGGTCATGGTGGGCGTGTCCATCGCGTGGGTGCCTGTCATCAAGGAGAGCCAGGGCGGCCAGGTCTTCATCTACATCCAGGAGATCACCAACTACCTCGCGCCGCCGTTTGCTGCCGTCTTCCTGCTCGGTGTCCTCGTGCCCAGGGTCAACGAGAAGGTTTGTCCGCAGCTCATAACGTCAAAGAGACGAATCCTAATACGTGAGTGTGTGAGTGAGTTGGTTTTAACGCCGCTTTTAACAGTATTCCAGTTATATGACGGGGTGATGCAGTTCCTAGACGTTTACCACTTCGGTGAAACCCACGAGCACGGGTATGGTGCTGACAAACCTCGAAACATAGTCAGGGCGAACCGGGATTCGAACCCACAATCATAGGTTTCTGGCGTGCTTAAGTGACGCAACTCTGCACAGCGAATCACGGCGCCTCAGACGATCCACCACCCGAGCCCCCGAATCTTAATACTTTGTGTCACAATGTCTTGCACATCACTTGTCATACCCATAGTGTGGGAAGGTAAAATAATTAAGACCTCGGGAGTACGCACACTCTAAGTTAGATCCGGGGCTAAGTCAGACTCGATGACTTAGTTGATTGTGTCATCATATCCCGATTGCGTAGGACGTTGCTCATAAAATCGACCACTGGTTTGTCAAACCTGGTCTTATTTACAGGTCGCCCTCATATAACTGGAATACACATAGTCTAACACTAATATAAAGGTGGTTGTTGTTCTCCGGTGTGAAGGTCCTGCTACAGCTGTAACAGCCATTGTATCACCATGTCATGTGTTCCAGTTTTTTAACATTGACTAGCACCTTAGATTACTTTGTGGGACGAGACCCAGGGGAAAGTAGCCTCAGTGAAAGGCCCTGCCCTAGTGGTCGTGCGAGCGGATCATGGTCTGTGGGTTTAGTTTTTCTCTCCCCTGTCGTACAACTCCAACCGTTTTCTATTAACCCTGATCCATGTGTGTCTTGTTCGTTGTTTTTAAAGTTTTATCTTTGATCTCCAGTAGTAAGCTTTGTAACATGCTGTGTACGTGATTGTGTATCCTGAACCATGTAGCAATTGTGAACGTCGGTTACCTTTGGGGTGTCTTAATAATGTGGGCTATTTGTAGTGTGCCATTTGGTGCCTTCTTTCTGTCTGATTATATTTGTTAGGGTATTTGGGGGCTGTGATGGCTACCGTTTTATTTGGTCATGTCTTGGGTGTTGTCGGTGCCTGCTTTTCTATCTGATTATTTTGTAAGGGTCTTTAAGAGCTGTGGTGGTTACCGTTGTATCTGGTCATGTCCTATGATGCCATTTGGTGCCCGCTTTTCTATCTTATGTTAATTCAATCTTATTAAAATCAGATCTTAGTTCTCGCTACCGCTAAACTAAGATCTGAGGACATCCCATTACGGGTCACGTCAGAACGACCTTTTCGCGAATTTTGACCGACCAATGAAATGACTGACAAGAAATCGACATTAGCCAATCAGAAGGCAGCTTTCTCGAACTTTACGACAGTAGTTTCAAACTGGCGACTACGCTTCGAAACATATTTTGAGGTATTCTGATAAAACTGATCAGAAGAACATTCTGGAATGGTTTATAGATGGCCTAGATTGTATGGATATAATCATAAAACCCGTAACTGTCGATCGGAATACCTTGAATTAAATATTATGTGGTTGCATGATTAGAAAACACATTCCGACTGTCACTTTCATGATCTGGTAAGCGATGCTCTGATTGGTTGGATGAAAGGTCGTTCTGACGTGACCCTTAATAGGATGTCCTCAGATCTTTGTTTAGCGATAGCGAGAACTAAGATCTGATTTTAATGAGATTGATGTTAATTTGAAGCTTCTTTGAGGGCTGTGCTGGTTACCGTTGTTTTTTAGGGTGCCTTTTGGGCCCTGATGGTGGCCTTTGTAACTGGCATGGTCCGTCTGTTCGTGGTGATGGTGTACCAGTTTGATGGGGAGACCTACTGCGGGGCCAAGAACACTGGTTACCAGCTGCCTGGTATCGTTAAGAACTTCCACTACATGTACTTCTCACTGTTCATCACCCTCCTCACTGCGGTCCTCGCCATCGTCATCAGCCTCTTCACCGAGAAACCAGAGGAAAAATATGTACGTTTTCATTCAAGTGAGTGAGTCAGTGAGTTGGGTTTAACGCCGCTTTTAACAGTATTCCAGTTATATCACGGCGTGTCAGCTTAATGTGGGAGTAAAGCCCGAAGCGATGCAGGTCTTAGACGTTTACCACTTCGGTGAAACCTACTAGCACGGGTATGGTGCTGACAAACCTAGAAACATTATCGGGGTGAACCGGGATTCGAACCCACAATCATAGGTTTCTGGCGTGCCTCTGCACAGCGAATCACGGCGCCTTAGACGACTGGGCCACCCGTGCCCCCGTTTTCATTCAAATCTATTCTACAGTTTTAGTTCATGCATACAGATATACAGTGTAGGTAGTTTACTGTTAAAATTATCGATGCTTGGTTGGAAATCATATCATACGTTGAATATCAGTCACAAGATTATAATCTATATTTTCTGAAAAGGGTAGAAAAATTGGTAAGATTTACTGTATTAAATTAATAAGATAAAGCCTAGCGCCTTTCTGAATTCAAAAGGTTATTTAGATAAAATCCTTTGTGAAAACATTGAATTCAAGTAAATACATAGCATTCCATTTGCCGACAGTTAATAAGAACCACATACTGGACACGCCATGATCCACGGAGACCAGACGTCCTTGACATGGAGCTGAGCAGAGGTCACGGTATTAAGGCAGGGGTAGACAATCCCGCTGTAGAGATGAACGATGTCGATGTCAAGGTCGCCGATGGGGAGTTGGTGAAAAAGGTGTTCAGATCACCGGAAGTGACCGACGAATCGGCAGAACGTAAGTGATTGTACGATCGATAATGTAAAATAACAGCCATATCACGGCTGGACATGACAAAAATGGGCGTTTCGAACCGGGGTCTTCAACGCGATGAGCGAATGCTTTAATCACTAATCTCTAGGCGTACCATGTATATCTAGTCTTAATAAAGGTTCATAGTGTAAGCGGCAGCATCACGTGACCTCTTTTTGGTCCGACCCGTTGCAAGCTGGACTGGGGTCACAGATTGGCTTTCTTTGTAGAATGACCAAAGTTACCGAACCAAGGTTGAGTTCGAAAAAATTTCATCAAAGCATGTTTATTAGATGAACTGACTTTTACAATCGCAAACAAAACAGAAAACTACATGCAGACATAACATATTCAGAAATTATCTGAATCTGCAATCGACGCCACTTGTTTAATCCTATTTGGTAACGTGATGTTTGATCAGCATGACGATCTATAAATAGACACATTTTGTCAAGCCGACACAACTCCGCAGAACGTCTGTGCAAATTGCCAAAGCTATTTTTATCTAAATCAAAATGATTACATGTGGTTTTGGCTAAATAAATCGGTTTTACGGAAGACGTTTAACTTATATATCGTCGGCGTCCGAAAGTGGGGCCTTCTCTTAGCTCCATATTTGGTTCGAGGTTCTATGGTCCACGTGATTTAATCTTAGATCTCGCGAGAAAAAAAGATCAAAGTTAAGAATGTACATAAAGGGATCGCTACAGTGGATTATTTCAATGAAATATAATTCAAATACGAAATTTGACATAGGCATATTTCGTAGCATTTATAAACTGATTGTTGACTGAAACATTATCAGATATCGGTGAAAAATAAATATTTGTCACGACGATTTTCACACAAGACGCCACTTCAGCTGTTCTTCGGCACAGGGCAGTCAATGGCACTGACTGCGTCTTAATGTGTGAAGAGACTTGTGACCCCCACTAACTCTAGGGCCCCTTACAGTGTCCATCAGTTGTGTTGTTCATGTGTTAGATATAACTGTTTCAGGCTGTAGTAGTAGTAGTAGTAGTAGTAGTAGTAGTAGTAGTAGTAGTAGTAGTAGTAATGATAATAATGTGAATTCGATTTTCATTATCAGCTCCTTGGGGAGTATACAACCCAAGCAAATTCCTTATCAAGAACCTTAAAGCCTGAAACAGTTATTTATCATCCAAAACTGGCTCCCACAGGAGATATCGCTTGGATTAGATCAAGCGATATCTACACTGTAGATATCGCTGCAATGAAATTACATCACAATGCTTTGCAGACCATTGTGACGTCACTGGTTACCATGATGTCACAATCAAATGACATCACTAATGGCTCTGCTACTGAAGCTGTTAGCAGTACTTTTTACACTGAAGACACTGCTAATTACTGTCTACAAATTGAAAAAGTTGGAAGAATGATGTTTGATGATAAATAAAATCTCACCCTCGTGTCTTTTGATATCAAATATATCAACACTCGTTGATATATTTGATATCAATAGACACTTGGGTGAGATTCTCTATATCTAACACATGAACAACACAATTGATGGACACTGTAGTATTTGTCGGCTGGGTAGCCCATTGGTTAAAGCGTTCACCCGTCACGCCGAAGGCTCAGGTTCGTTCCCCCGCCTGGGTACAATGTGTGAAGCCCATGTCTGACGTGTTCTACCGTGGAATATTGCTAAATGCGGCATGAAACCATGAACATCTAGTTATTTTACATAACCACAAGTCCGAAATGAGCTGCGCACTAATCGGATATTACCAATGGTGTCTACCCCTGTTCACCACACATACATACTTCGCCACATTCTGCAGTCATGACCCCCATCAAGTCAACTTATCATGACTTATTATTGTGTTCCTTGTTTCCTATTTTTCGATACCTAGAAGCCCCCGGCGTTGTGCGTCGCATCTTCAACTACCTGTGCGGCGTCGGCAGCATCGACGAGGATGAAGGAAAAGCCAAAGAAATGATGGACCATCTGGAAGACATAGCCAGTTTACAGCAGAGCAAATGCGTTAAAGTCGTGCTGACTGTTGGCCTCTGTATTATCATGGGGATAGGGGTTGCCATGTACATATTCTGGTCTCTGTACAAGTTTGACACCCCACCGTTTTATCCAGAGGGCGCTGCTTCTCTTCTTCCTGGAGATTATAATTCGTCCATGACAGCAATGAATACAACCGTTTAATGTACACTCGGTTTCATGACAGACTTCATATTCACATACTCGATTATCCAGCGTATATTAGGGGCAGTCGTCTAAGGCGCCGCCATTCGCTGCGCTGAGTTGCGTCCCTTTGGCACGCCAGAAAAAAAAATATAATCGTGGGATCGAAGGTTTCTAGGTTTGTCAGCACCATTCCCGTGCTCGTGGGTGTAACCAAAGTGGAAAACGTCTAAGACCTGCATCACTTTGGGCTTGCCTCACACCGTAAGCTGATATAACTTGAATATTGTTAAAAGCGGCGTTAAACCCAACATACTCACTCACTCCTGCGTATTATATATCTCCATTCGCCACTGACGTCACCATATCAATCTCTCTTATTAATTATGCTTAACATTTTCTCTTGCTCATAACCACCTCCGTGGTCTAGTGGTAGAGCGTCCGCCTGGAGAGCGGAAGGTCCGGGGTTCGATCCCCAGCCGCGTCATTCCAAAAGACGTTAAAGATGGTACTGTTACCCTGTCGCTCGGCTTTAAGGGGCTAAAATAAGGACTGGTCGGCTCGGAGTCAGTATACGGTGTCTGAGAGGGATATTCATGTTTAACTGCAGCAGGGTATCTCAGTGGGCTAGCACTATAAGTCGGCATCAGTACTAGTGTACAAGCAGCAACACACACACGAGCGTTATAAGTGCAATAATCTTGCGCGCAACGTTAAACCCCATTTCGCTTCCCCTTCTCATGCTCATTATTTAATTTGATTGGACATCTTTTTTAGTATTATTTAATTTTTATCCCGCCCAAAAACGAAGCTATTGTACCAAATGGGTCCAGGGAATTTATCAAAATAGAATGGAGATGTGACACACTGGATAATCGAGGGTGTTATATTTATATTTGAAATAAGTATGTTGAAGACTATCGACCCTGTTTTAATTAATTTGAAAAAAGTCGTGATATGTATATTATTATATATCCACCTACTGATGTAGTTCATCAATTCTCTTATCTTTAAACATAATGTAAATGTTGTCATGGCAACAGCAAATATGACAGTAACCTTTATGATATATATAATGTCACAAGAGAAGTGACATTTGATAATTCACCTGTATTTAATGACATTAGGCTCCTTGCGATGAGTTGGGGAATAGTAATCATAGCGATTCTAAACAGAATAAGCTGGACCCTAACAATCCTTTGACCGATTACATTTTCTAGATGTGACATTTTGAATTATTATTAAATATCAATTATGTAACACATCTCTTCTTCCTACTTCCTACTATCGTTTAGTTGTCATCTGTGTATGAGTGAACTACCAACGATCTAGCTTGAGGTGGGAACTGCGTAGTGTATAGTATAGAGGCGCTATTGAACTACCAACGATCTAGCTTGAGGTGGGAACTGCGTAGTGTATAGTATAGAGGCGCTATTGAACTACCAACGATCTAGCTTGAGGTGGGAACTGCGTAGTGTATAGTGTAGAGGCGCTATTGAACTACCAACGATCTAGCTTGAGGTGGGAACTGAGTAGTGTATAGTGTAGAGGCGCTATTGAACTACCAACGATCTAGCTTGAGGTGGGAACTGCGTAGTGTATAGTGTAGAGGCGCTATTGAACTACCAACGATCTAGCTTGAGGTGGGAACTGCGTAGTGTATAGTGTAGAGGCGCTATTGAACTACCAACGATCTAGCTTGAGGTGGGAACTGCGTAGTGTATAGTGTAGAGGCGCTATTGAACTACCAACGATCTAGCTTGAGGTGGGAACTGAGTAGTGTATAGTGTAGAGGCGCTATTGAACTACCAACGATCTAGCTTGAGGTGGGAACTGCGTAGTGTATAGTGTAGAGGCGCTATTGAACTACCAACGATCTAGCTTGAGTTGGGAACTGCGTAGTGTATAGTGTAGAGGCGCTATTGAACTACCAACGATCTAGCTTGAGGTGGGAACTGAGTAGTGTATAGTGTAGAGGCGCTATTGAACTACCAACGATCTAGCTTGAGGTGGGAACTGCGTAGTGCATAGTGTAGAGGCGCTATTGAACTACCAACGATCTAGCTTGAGGTGGGAACTGAGTAGTGTATAGTGTAGAGGCGCTATTGAACTACCAACGATCTAGCTTGAGGTGGGAACTGTGTACTGTACAGTATAGAGGCGTTTTGGGGCTTTTGGGGGAAACATCTCATTGTTGAATGGGTAGTCTATGCCATATTGTTTAAAGAGGTACGTTTAAAGTTAGCACTTTACCATTAGGGTATTTAGTGAATGCATGGTGGGTAAAAGTTCTAATAACATCGCCAAAACGATTTAATTCGCCATACATATAAAACAGATTGTACAAATAATGTTAAGGGATTCGAAGAATGTGAAAAGAAAAACAGAATGTATTTTTGTGCTTTTATTACGTTTACGAAATTTAGGTAAATTCGCCATTATTCTGTTTGGATTACAATGAAGATTTTCATTCTTGCCCAGCCATTGAATCAAACTTAACTGGGCTCTAGGGAACAAGGTTACAGAACAAAAGAGGAAATTGGGTTTCAAGTACATTGTGTAAGTTTCTCTCTGCCGGTAGGGCGTTGCTACAAGGAGGCTTATCTGACTCCTTATATCTTCATCTATAGTACATGTTTTGTTTGTTTGTTGTTTAACGAGTCTGGACCAGACAATCCAGTGATTAACATCATGAGCATCGATCCACGCAATTGGAATACGATGAGATACATCAACTAGGTCAGCGAGCCTGACCACCCGATCCCGTTAGTCGCATTGTACGGCAAGCATGGATTGTTGAAGACCTATTCTACCTCGTACCTTCACGGGGACAACAGTACATGTAAGCAATGCCCACCAACCTGCTTGTTTCCCAATAATAACAGCAATTCGCCGGAGGGGTTTGCCTACAGCAGATCTTCCTTATGGTGAAGTTAGTTTATAATGGCCCTTGTTGTTGGTGGTGTCAACCGGACTGATGATGTCGGGGCACTGGCGTTAGGGTGTGTGGCCAAAATGGCAGCCGTTTCAAATCGACCCCATTCGTCACCACTCGCCCCTTTCCGTAACCTGCAAGAAGACTCGTCCCCCTATCGATGAATGTTATGTGCGAAAAAACGACAAACCAATCAGAATGCGCGTATGATTTCAAGTACTTCGTCAAAGAATCCCTCAGAAATAATTTTTGATTTCACATATGTCTTGCATATAAAAATATAACCAAGACACAGTTAAATGTGTTCAGTTATACTGTATAATTCCGCACGTCCCGGTGTGCTTTAAATTGCATCTGAAATATATATAATATATGGGGAAATATATGTGAACCATTACGCAACGAATTGACAATTGTTTTAGGTATGCCCGTTTGCGCTAAGACGGAACCCGGTCGCAAAAATGGCCACGAGAGGGGCACGAGTCGCTATTCGGCTTGTCCCGGAATAACACGAGTTGGTCACGAATGAAATCGACCCATCGCTCTGATGTGCTATAGCTAGCCATGTGCAGCCGCTGCATTTGGGTGTACACACAGAGGATGTACTGGCAGTGAATGAATATGCAGGGAATGTATACGCAGTGAATGTATACGCAGTGAATGCATACTCAGTGAATGCATACGCAGTGAATGTATACCCTGAAGAAAAGGTTCCCTAACTGATCTTCACTGGCATTCGTGACCAACTCGTGTTATTCCGGGACAAGCCGAATAGGTCTTCTTGCAGGTCACGGAAAGGGGCGTGTTGTGTCGGATGCTTCACTAGATCACGTAACGTAAAACCATCCGCCATGATATGCACGTGAAATCCGTCATTGTTTATTTTGGGAATCAGATGGGTTTGAGTGATATTATAGTTGATACTATGGATGAGTATCCATGAGTTATGATTTGCCTTTGTCCTACATGCAATGTTAGGACGAAGTATTTAGTTTTCACTAACACATAACGAACTCTTACTTTGTATTTAGTATCATGTAATTAAACACTATTTGTATTAAAAAATATATACATAGCGAATTGTGTTTCTGTTCTTTTCTCTGCCGATTGAGGACGATTGACTTTGTTAAGTGAGTGAGTGAGTGAGTGAGTGAGTATGGTTTTACGCCGTTTTTAAACAATATTTCAGCAATATCACGGCGGGGGACACCAGAAATGGACCTCAAACATTGTACCCATGTCGGGAATCGAACCCGGGTCTTCGGCGTGACGAGCGAACGCTTTATCCACTAGGCTACCCGACCGCCCCGACTCTGTTAACGCACAAATAACTGGACATTTGCTACAAGTAATGTACCAGTATCATTATGTGTAACGAATTGCCAGTTACGCGTGCGTTTTCAGACTTAAAGCATCAAACTAACAATTTGCTGCGTCATCAGATTTAAAATAAAGCCTGAAAATAAGATTTGATTACTAAATTAAAGCAAATTAATAGAACACAAAAAATGCTGCACGGACATTACATGTACGTATTTAACATTCATGTATGAGCTTAAATTCTGCATTGCAGAAGGTAGGTGAGCAAACTATCAATTGATTACAGATAATTTACTGTTGAAACAAGAGAGTGACGCAAAGGCTGTATTTAACCATAGCTTAGTCAACCCTGAGCTTAGCAACGCGGTTAGTCAACTCGATAATCATTAGCGTCGATAGTCAACTTACACCATCACTGGGTCAAACAACAGCTTTTATAAACAACTCACACCATCACTGGGGAAACAACAGCATCGATAGTAAACTCACAACATCACTGGGAAAAACAGCAGCGTTTATAGTCAACTCACGCCATCACTGGGAAAAACAGCAGCGTTTATAGTCAACTCACACCATCACTGGGAAAAACATCAGCGTTGATAGTCGACTCACACTATCACTGGGTCAAACAACAGCGTTTATAGTCAACGCACAACATCACTGGGAAAAACAGTAGCGTTGATAGTCAACTCACACCATCACTGGGAAAAACAGCAGCGTTGATAGTCAACTCACACCATCACTGGGAAAAACAGCAGCGTTGATAGTCAACTCACACCATCACTCGGAAAAACAGCAGCGTTGATAGTCAACTCACACCATCACTGGGAAAAACAGCAGCGTTTATAGTCAACTCACGCCATCACTGGGAAAAACAGCAGCGTTGATAGTCAACTCACACCATCACTGGGAAAAACAGCAGCGTTGATAGTCAACTCACACCATCACTGGGAAAAACAGCAGCGTTGATAGTCAACTCACACCATCACTGGGAAAAACAGCAGCGTTTATAGTCAACTCACGCCATCACTGGGAAAAACAGCAGCGTTGATAGTCAACTCACACCATCACTGGGAAAAACAGCAGCGTTGATAGTCAACTCACGCCATCACTGGGAAAAACAGCAGCGTTGATAGTCGACTCACACTATCACTGGGTCAAACAACAGCGTTTATAGTCAACGCACAACATTTATCGACTAATGGTGTTATATTTGATATCAAAATTCATTCGGGTGAAATTCTCTATTCTTCCGGGGCGGTCGGGTAGCCTAGTGGTTAAAGCGTTCGCGCGTCACGCCGAAGACCCGGGTTCGATTCCCGACATGGGTAGAATGTGTGAAACCCATTTCTGGTGTCCCCCGCCGTGATATTGCTGGAATATTGCTAAAAGCGGCGTAAAACCATACTCACTCACTCACTCACTCACTCTATTCTTCCATACACTTCCGTTTAATAATCAGAATTATTCCCTGAAAATATGTAAGCAAGTCTACGGTGACAGCATAATACGATACTTGATTAAAAACAAATACATACAATACTGACATTTCATCGGGCGTGATTGAATTCATTTGAGTAATGGCAGATAAGTGTGGCTTCTATCCTATTCCTGTATCATGTGTCGCATCGTTAGCGGTACCGCAGATGTTCTGCATCTCGTTAAAGTTCGTTCCAGGAACACATCAAGTAGAGTTCTTACCATTCTCTGGGGCAGTTACCAAAACCAGAATGAGGCTATAGTTTTCAGAACGAATGAGGCAGTTGTGTACTATTCCACGTAACGATGTCTGATCACTGGGTAGAATAATTAGACTGCCAGAAATATCATCTTCCGCTATCGATAACACATTTGTGAAGGCCTGACGCATGAAATGAGATATTCGAAAGACCTTTAACACGGTTTATGAAACATGCAGCAACAGTATAGTTATCAGCTTAGGGGGCGGTGGAGTAGCCTAGTGGTTAAATCGTTCGATCGTCAAGACGAAGACCCGGGGTCGATTCCCTACATGGGTACAAGTGTGAAGCCCATTTCTGGTGTCCCCCGCCCAATATTTGTTGGAATATTGCTAAAGTGGCGTAAAACAATACTCACTCACTCTCTTAGATAGTCACTCACTCTCTTAGATAGGAACTTACATTTATGTCAAACATTTTAATTTTGTTTTAAGACTGAAACATACACTGTCTACGCCAGAGAATAACCAGTCTGATTACCCGCCGTTATATACTACATTGGGCTTAAAAGGCAAAATAGCGGTGAACATTATGTGAATGGAACCAGACGTTCGCAAAAAGGATAAACATGTCCATTCCAAACTAAAGCTAGAGACAGTATGTGATTGATACGTGTGGTAGTTCAATTTCATTGGTTTTCGTAGAGATATCGGCTTTGTATACATCAATGTTTCGCCTGTATTCGTTCACAAATTAATACTACACAAAAAATGATGCACGGACAGTACATGTACGTATTTAACATTCATGTATGAGCTTAAATTTTGCATTGGAGAAGGTAGGTGAGCAAACTATCAATTCATTACAGATAATCTACTGTTGAAACAAGAGAGTGAAGCAACAGCTCTATTTAACCATAGCTTAGTCAACCCTTAGCTTAGCAAAGCTGTTAGTCAACTCGATAATCATTAGCGTCGATAGTCAACTTACACCATCACTGGGTCAAACAACAGCTTTTATAGTCAACTCACACCATCACTGGGGAAAGCAGCAACGTTTATAGTCAACTCACACCATCACTGGGAAAAACAGCAGCATTGATAGTCAACTCACGCCATCACTCGGGCAAACAACATCGTTGATAGTAAACGCACATCATCACTTGGAAAAACAGCAGCGTTGATAGTCGACTCACACTATCACTGGGTCAAACAACAGCGTTTATAGTCAACGCACAACATCACTCGGTCAAACAACAGCGTTGATAGTCAACGCACAACATCACTCGGTCAAACAACAGCGTTGATAGTAAACGCACAACATCACTCGGTCAAACAACAGCGTTGATAGTCGACTCACACTAAGATGATATCTGTGGGATTCATTTTGTACGGCAATGTGAATTAGTAGGACCTGGCATCACCCAGTTATACTCTTCATTAGCCATTACCGGAGTTAACGCGATGACTTGTGTATGTTATATATAAAGGAACCTGCATCATGTGTATTAGCTTGCTTCAAAAGCCAAGACATCTCCCGTGCTTCCCTTCGCCAGTAAGCCTAACTGCCAATTCTGTACAGGACATTCAACAGCGATCGGAGAGAGACAGCGAGCTGTACGCGGTGCCACTCGGGTACCATGTCTCCGTCAGTGTGTTGTTTCTCAGTAAGTCTTCGTTTATGTCGGTGTAATTGAGTGTATGTCTTCATCACTAAGCGTGCCTCCATCTGTGTGTGGTGCCTCAGTGCGTCAGTGTTCATCTGTGTGTGGTGCCTCAGTGCGCCAGCCTCCATCTGTGTGTGGTGCCTCAGAGCGTCAGTGTTCATCTGTGTGTGGTTCCTCAGTGCGCCAGTGTTCATCCGTTTGTGGTGCCTCAGGGCGACAGCCTCCATCCGTGTGTGGTTCCTCAATGCGTCAGTGTTCATCTGTGTGTGGTGCCTCAGTGCGCCAGTGTTCATCTGTGTGTGGTGCCTCAGTGCGCCAGTGTTTATCTGTGTGTGGTTCCTCAGTGCGCCAGTTTTCATCTGTGTGTGGTTCCTCAGTGCGCCAGTGTTCATCTGTGTGTGTGGTGCCTCAGTGCGCCAGTGTTCATCTGTGTGTGGTGCCTCGGTGCGCCAGTGTTCATCTGTGTGTGGTTCCTCAGTGCGCCAGTGTTCATCCGTTTGTG